TAGTAACTGGGATTATCAATATTCAAGCATCTACTTGGATAAACTCTGAACAGACACCCTATTGTGGGTAGGCCCTTAGGGTCTGTTGTAGTGCTAGACAGGGTGGATGTCTTTGCTGAGACACAGCCCCTTTTTCTGGTTGCAAACTTATCTGGATTGCTGTTCTTTGTGACTCTTTTCTGGGTGGTACCTAACCATTTCCATCTCTTAAGCAGGTTACTTAGACTCTTGTCTCTTTGCAGGCTGTCATTTGTCACTTTCTCTCCTTTCTGCTCCCTGACTGGATGAATGAAACTTTTAAAGGTCTCCTTCATATCCCTCCCAAATATTTTTTGTCAATGCTCAGTGGCTGTGTCTACACAAGACGTATAAACACGTACTAAATCACTGCACAGTAACCAGAGTTACTGCATAGCGGCATCACCAGACTGCTTATAGGTGACACTGACTGTGCAGTAGCTCATTACTACTGCACAGTAGTGTTGCGTTACACTTCCTGCCATGTAATGCTACTGCACAGTAGTAATGAGCTGCTACACAGTCATTGTCTTGTGTAGACATGGCCAGAGAGAGGTATCTGGAGCAGTAATTTCCAAGGCATGTCAGTACAGACACTGACAAAGGCTAAACCCAAAGGGGGCATGAGTGTAGCTCAGAAGCCAGGCATGTGTTTGTAGCCAGTCTTGTAGAGCTGGGCCAGCATTGATGTGCACTAAGGAGAGAGGCTGTTTCAAAGTGAATTTAAACTCAGTTTTGGGAAGGAGATCATGGAACCAGCCCAGCACTCCCTTCCTGTTAGCTTCAGTGTCCCAGGGCCCTCATTAGCACCCTGTCAGCACATTTTCGGGACCTTGGAGTGCTTTATAGTTTCCTTGGTCCTGCCTTTTTTAATTCATTGTGTCACAGCTTCCAGCTCTGAGGGTGGTTTATTAGCAGTAATGAATGCAGCCTTCCTATTAGATGAGCCAAACACTTCTTGTACCTCATTAGCAACATGTCACCAAGCTTGGTTTCTCCAGTCTAACAATGGGTCTGTGTCCTAGGGTTCAGTCTCAGTTCTTATCCCCCATCACCCTTGATGCGTTGTCCTCACCAGACATGGCAGCTAATGATAAGGCTTTCTGACACTCTGGTAGCATTCCAAGTTTCACTCCTCCCTCTCCACTGCTCAGTCAATGCCTTTTTGGGGACAAGGGTAGTCTATGCTGGGCTGGGTGTGAGCTTCCAGTCCCCTTTAACACATGGCAAATGCTTTGCAGCCATCCCATTGCTGCTTCTGCTGATGAAGAGGAGGATGGGTGCTGCAATAACCTGGATTTTTGGAGGTGCCCTTGATTTGTGCACAGAAATGGTTACACTGCTGCAAAGGCTCCTTACAGCCACTTGCCCTTGATCACATCCAATGGGAACCAGACTCCAAGGCTCAGACCTTCTCCTATCCCCAAAGGATTCAGGAACCCAACTTTCTCTTCCAGGCCATGAATCTCCATGAAACTTCATTAAACTAATTGGAAAATCCCAGTCTCAAATTCACATCCTTCCAGGCTTATCACTCTATTCCACCCCTCTGGAAAGCAGGCAAGATAGGGGAGTAGTTTTTCTAATTCAGCCAAGTGCCTGCCTAACAACACCTCTGTTTCCCCATCACCATAAAACAGTGATCATGGTATTTGTCTTCCTACTTGAAGCAGGGTGAACATGTTGAAGCTTAATACATTCTTCTCTATAAAGTGCTTTGAGACCATGCAGTGGAAAGCAAGCTGTGTTCCTGTTATTCTCTCTCCCCAACTCATGCTGTCCTCCCTAGCCACCATGTTAGAGGGATACAGAATCCATCAGCTTGGCCTCTGGGACCAGCCCTTACAAGGAAGCCGTGAGGCTATCAAAACCCTCTGTGGATAGTAAGCTCTGAGAGAGATCCAGCCAGCTGGCCACATCAGCTGAGACATTCCCCCACTGCCCCTTTCTGAGCTGCTTTCACTCTTCCATAGCTCCATTGATCTAAGGGTCTTTCAGGTTCTTTGCAAGGTTGTCGTGCCCTGGGTGCGGCACATCCCATGTACAGGCAGTTCTGTATCTTAGCGCTCACAGGCTTCTGCGATCATGAAATCTGAGCACATTAAAAAACACAGGTTCTGATTTTCCAAAGCAGCTAATGACTTTGGGTGCCCAAAAGAAGATACTTTCAAAAGGGGCCATCACTAGAATGGCTTTCGTAGGCCTGAATATGGGGCAATGTTGAAAGCTCAGACCCTATCAGGGTTAGAGGTGAAGGTGAGATCATCTCATCTCCCTTCAGCATAAAGCTCTGTGACCATGAATATGTCAGTTGGCCACATCTGTGGGGGTAAGGCCAGACCAAGCCCTTGAACGTCAGGTATTTCGATGTCCAGCTTGGGCAGGGAGGCACATTAGCTGGTAAGGGTGGGGGGCAGAAATGCCACATTTTGAGGGGAAGGAGGAACTAGCTGTTCCCAGACTTAGGAGATAGAAAAGGTCCCAGGGAGAGATGCAGTCACAGTCCTAAAATAAATGCATTTATCACATGGATGGCTCACACCCAGCCTCACATGTGACTCAAAGGATGTGCTGTCTGTACAGTCTGCCCCTGTAAAGTAGGATGGGTGAAGCTATAGACAGCCTGGCTACTATATGCAGGGTACCCTATATAAGACAGGGTGGCTTTGTGGGTAAGGCACTGGAATAGTGTAAAAAGCTGTTCTAGGCTCTGCCACAGACTCCTGGTGAGACCCTGGCAAGTCATTTAATGTCTCTGAGCCTCAATTTCCCATCAGTAGAACAAGGGTAGGGAAGCTTCTTTTTTCCTGCCCTGCATCTTGTCAGACTGTGTACTCTTTGGGGAGGGCTCATATCTCACTCTGTGTCTAAGCAGCCCATGGAATAGGGGGCCTTGATTTAGGTTCTATCTGCTGTAGATCAATCAGGAGAATAATTATTGGTTGGTCCCATGAAATGTTACATGCAAGATGTTATCTAAGTGACCAGGGCCCTGTGAGTTTACATCACAGATTCTCTAGTGATGGTGGTACTAGCTGGCTAGAGGAATGAACTCACTAGGCCCAGCTGTAAGCTTCAGCCACGTGCATTACCAAGGCTAGTGCAGTGTGTGATCAAAAAGTGGCTCAGGGCCTGTCCCTGTGAATCCACTGCCCTGAGTCCCAGCTGTACCAGGAGACCAGGAGCCTGCTCCTTCCTACCGTGTTCCCAGCATCCCACCAGCTGTTAAACAAAGGACACATGTGTGCACTTACCAGAGTGGTTTAACATGCTCCAGGGGAAATGACACAACCCTCAGGAAAACAGTGTGTGGTCTTGAATGTACAAAAAGACCAATTAGTTTAACGAAGTGGAACATCACAAGCTCCCACGCGCCTCTTCCTTCCTCCCTTCTCTCCCATCTCTCTGTCCTGGTGCAAGCACCCTTTGCCAACTGTGGGCAGAGGCACAATGAGGGAAAGCCCTAGGGGAATGTAGGGGAATTGCACTAAACTGTCCCATTCAAGCATCCTGCTCAAAGAACCCCAGAGTGCCCCTGACACTGCCATGGGGGTCCCTGAATAATGCGGCCGGATTAGCAATGCTCCAGAGCATCCCTTTCCACAGGAGATTCTCTGCTGTGCAGGATGTGGGAGATGGCGGTATTACTGTCATGTGTGACTTGGTTTGTCTGTTTAATCATAAGCTACTTGTTCCTTGGCCTCAAGAACTTCTTTACACAGACATTTGCTGGGAGAAAGGAACATGCTGCCACTGGGCTTGTGCACTCTGGGTGTGGGGAATAGGCTGTTAAATCTCACTGGGCACATCTACACAACACATTTACTGAGGAGTTGCCTAATTAGCTGTGCAATAAACATTTCAGCATCTACATGTGCAGACCTATTAAGCCACAGGAAACCTAATAAATGCCCTAATAAACACAAGTACTATCCTGCGGTGGCATTATTTAGTGCACTGAGATGCACGTATAGATGCTGATGGGTCTGGCTGGGGCATGAGGGTGCTTCAGTGCGTGGGCTGCCTGCCGTCTAGCCCCGTACTGGAACACCCTTGTGCCCCAGCTAGTCCTTCCACAGCACATTGAGCTGGACCGGAGCAGCCCCCAGCTGGCAGGCTGACCCCCTGGATCCTCTACCAGCTGGGGCTGCTCTGACTCAGCTCAACATGCTGTGGTCCCAGGCACACATGTAGGCATGGTACCCAGGAGCAATTAACTCTGGTGTCATATGCACTGGAGTTTGTTGCTTTGCATTAATATGCACATGTAGATGCTCCCACTGGCACTTGAATAGGTCTCCCTAGGGAATGAACAACCTGCATGACCAAACCAAGAACACTCATTTCCCAAGTGGGCTGGTACCCAGACAATGAGTCACTTGCTGAGAGACTTCAGGAGTGTCAGCTAGACATAGAAGGATGGGGCTATCCTGGGTCAGTTTTTAGAGGGAGCAGAATGACACTGACTGCAGAGAGTTAGGAGAGATTCTCCAGGATTGGTGGGAAGGAGCTAAAGGAGGTGGATCCTGGATGTCCTGGAGCACTGTGACCAAATCCCAAAGGGTACTTGGGAGGGATATTAAAGAGAGGCAGGGAGTGGTGTGCATGGGTTTTACCATTTTGTTCTGTATATATCTCTTGTTTGGACTGAAGCAAAGAGAGGTTGTCTATCTGGACCTATACAAAGCCTTTGTCTCTTTGCTTCCACTGTGACCCAGAAGTTGTGTAAAAGAAGTAAACTGGTGTTCCCACCCAGCTGAGGTCTGCGAGAGGGTAGAATTAGGTGACTGGGAAGTCTGGGGGACTTTGCAGTCTCCAGAGCCTTGGCATTTGGATTGCAAGGTATCATCTCTGAAAAGGGGATACTGGAAAGACCATATGCACCCCAAGAGCCTGCCTAGAGAGGCAGTGCCTGGCCTCCGCCCAGACTCAGGAAACTTAGGAGCATGTGGATTAGGCATGGCAGAATGCAAATACAGCAGCCTGCCACTTGCCGGTGCAGGGGAGACTGAGCTAGAACTACAGCATGTGTCCTTACCTGTTTGCCTGCCCACTAGCTCTGGCACCAGGTTCTGCAGCGGAAAAAAAGAGATGGGTAAGTACTCCCAGCCCCACAGATCCTGGCAGTGCATGCTTCAGGGCACAGCTCCTTCCAGCTGCAAACCAGCTGGGACCTAAGTACCTAAGGAGCGGAGTCTCTCACAGTGAGTTCAAAGCTGGGTGGGAAAG